CTTTATAATTAAAATATGAGTGCACCAAGGGTCAGCATTTAGCCTTTATTTTTTCACTTTAGTAATGTATAAGGTCACAAGGATATACAATGAGATATCCCATGTTGTATGCTCTATGTAGATGATGTTGTGCTAGTTGACGATAGTGGGCGGCGGTTAATTTAAAGTTAGAGTTGTGGAGAAAGACTTTGGAATAGAAAAGGTTTGAGATTTAATAGAACTAAAATTGAGTACATGAGGTACGATTTTTGTATTACTAGGCATGGAGGGATGAGGAGATTAGACTTGGTGGGCAAGATAGCTATTGATATTTGAGGGTCAATGTTGTAGAAAGACGGTGGTATCGATGAAAATGTGAGCCATCGAATCAAAGATGGATTGATGAAACGACGCCAAGCTTGTGGCATCCTTTGTGACAAGAGAGTACCACAAAAGTTAAAAGGCAGGTGCTATAAGTTAGTGATTCGACCTATGATATTGTATGGCTTAAAATGTTGGCCAAGTAAAAGGCGGTATGTCCAATAGTTAGGCGTAGCAGAGATCCACATGCTAAGATGGATATGTGGCCACAAAAGAAATTATCAATTCTGAAATGATGATATACGTGATAGAATGTTGTAGCACCAATTGAAGAGAACCTTGTGTCAATATTGTCCGAGATGGTTTGCACATATACAACACAACCCTTCAAAAGCGCTAGTGCATAGCAGAAGGATAAAATAATGTAAAAAGAGTCCAGAGTACACCAAACTTGACATGTGAAGGGTGAGTAAGGAAAAACTTGAATAACTAGAGTGTCACCAAATAACTAGACATGGACAGGGGTGAATGGAAGTTAGCTATCCGTGTGTCAAAACCATGACTAGGATTCGAGATCTTATGGTTTCAACTCTGGACTGCCCCAACCTATTTTGTGAGTGAAAGATCTGTGGTCATTGTTGTATTATTTCAGTGATATGTGACACACCCCTTGGTAGTGAAATGCCTATGATAACTTCATAAATTTCAAGACCCACCATTTTTCAACAATAACAAAAATACGGGAAGCTAGTGTTTTCGTCCAAAACAATTGTATTTTGGTGCCCCATTTATCCACTCAGATCCTAAGAATATCGACCCAGAGTGTAATTAGACTTACCTTTGACCGTTGTTTGGAGCACCTCATAGAAAAGTGCGGTCGAAGTCGCACTGATTTATGGTGAATCGGCATTATGTAAGTAAATAGCTCCTCGCTTTAAAGCGAGAACAGACACACCAAGCGAGATGGGCATGTCTATTTATAGTTTTGCATTGAGATAGTCGGAGATTTATATCTAAACTTGTACTCCCTCCGTTCCTAAATATAAGTCTTTGTAGAGATTTCACTATAGACCACATACGGATGTATCTAGATGCATTTTAGAGTATAGATTCACTCATTTTGCTTTGTATGTGGTTCATAGTGAAATATCTTCAAAGACTTATATTTAGGAACGGAGGGAGTATATATTAGCTTGATTACCATTTTAAGTGAACGCTTCATATTATTCTTTATTAAGAGTGGATAATCAACACTCTTTAATGGTATCCCCTATTTACAAAAATCATCCAAAGAAGCATAGTGGACATTAACATTTTCAAATTTGCGAGCGATGTTGAAAGCTCAGACAATTTCTGAAAACCCGTTAACTTTTTTCGAAAAAGGAAACATACTTTGATTTATCGAACACTTTTTCTAAAACTATGAACATTTTTTGAAAACACAAACATGTTTCTCAATTCCAAATGATATTTAAATTTTATGAACATTTTATGAAAAATACGGCTTTCTAAAATCCTGAATTTTTTGAAAGCAAGAACATTTCTTGAAACATGAACAATTTTTCAATACAATGAACACTTATTAGAAAACACAAACAAATTTTGAAAGAGTGAACATTATTTTGAAAAACCTTTTTTCTAAACTTGTGAACAAAATATAAAATGGAAAAATGAATGAGAAATAAAAAAAATAACTGACCAGGAATATTGGCTGAACCTGCTAAAAGGTTTCCCAAACTGATAACACCCAGGCAGAATCGTCTAGAAGATTCCTAAAAGTGGCAAAAGCCCAGGCTCAAACCGGGAAGTTCCAAAACCGGAACCAACGTGCAATTTTTGCTAGCGTTAAATGGGCTGGCAAATAGGCGGCTGCGTCAAATAAGAAACACACTATATAGCGGGAGCAACTAAGGTACCCTTTCGCAAGGGTTACTTTTAGTGCACGTGCTTGGTGCTCTCTTAGGATTTTTTTTCTGTATGCATTTTCAGGTTTTAGATGTTTTTTTTTGTTTTTTTGCTTTTCGGGTTTTGCCTAGTTTTCCCTAGGTTTTCGAGAATTTTTTTTTGCTTTTCTGAGAGGGACAAATTTGCTTCCGCGAGAGACACATAAAATTGTGTTTGTTTGCTTTCACGAGTGGCATCGATTTGCTTCTTGTGGAGGCACAGATTATTTTCGTGAGAGGCACAACACTGCCTCTTGAAAAAGGAAAATAATGCATTTATGTTGCTTCGTAGGTGGCATAGATTTGCATCTCGTGGAGGCATAGGTTTGCTTTCGCAAGAGACATAACTGTGCCTTTCAGAAATGACGGAAAACATGTTGTTTTTGCTTCCATGAGAAGCATACATTTGCTTCTCGTGGACACACATGATTGTTTTCGCGAGAGGCACAATCGTGCTCTCAGAGAGGAAAAAATGTGAAGTAAACAACTGTGTTTCGGCTCATTTTCCCCGGTTTTTCTTTTTCGTGAAAAATGTTCGTTAAAATCTATTAATATGGGATATGGTTTCGAGGATCTCGATGCGAGAAATCCAATGGTGAAAACAGTTCGGGATTTCGGCGCATGGTATAAGAGACAAAACACTTTGAATAAACGAATTTAGAAAAAAAGAAGAAACTCCCACGTTGCAACAAATGACACACATACAGTGCACTATTTGTCGCAACCTAAGAAGATGGGAGTGGCCTTTGTAAGAGGGGTACCGCTTAATTAGTAATTTTGCTATATAGCGCTTCTTGCAAGAATATGAGCGCATCACCCACGTCGTTCTTGGTGGGCCGACTAGGAGGCTCCGCACGCTCGTTGTTCGCCTCACTGGGACAGCTCGTTCAATTGTTTTTCTTACTCTTTATTTTTGGCTAAGGGGAAATAAACTTTTTTTGAGGGGTTAAGGGAAAATAAACTAATTCCTCCCAAAAATCCAACTCCGTGCCCAGGCTCATCTGCTCCCGGTCAGAAAAAAAATCAAAACAAATACTAGAAAAATTTCAAAAAATCACATTTTTTTGTGTGGTAGGTAATTTGATGCGTGAGGTCTGCTCCAAATGTCAACTCATTTGGACATCTGAGCAGCTCTCGGCAAAAAAAAAACAAATCAGGACAAAACAGTGCATGAACAGTAAACTTTTTTGCAGACCCTGGTTTTGTCTTTTTTGCTGAGAGCTACTCAAATATCCAAATGAGATCAAATTTGCAGTAGACCTCACGCTTCAAATTATCTACCACACAAAAAATATTGGATTTGTTTTGAATTTTTTTGTATTTTTTTTGATTTTTTTCGTCAACGCGGGTGCAGCTGAGCTCGGGAGCAGAAACACCGCACTCAATTCCTCCTATCTATATTACTTGTGGGCTGTGTCTGATTTAATATAACTTTAGTTCCATCTTTTTCGTGTTGATGATAAAAAATGTTCCTGGATTCTAAAAAATGGTTGTGCTTAATTGTGTTTTGTGCATTTAGGAAATGTTCACAAATTCAAAAAAGGTTTGTGTATTAAAAAATGGTTAACATATTGGAATAATTGTGAACTCAAAAATATTTGTGTATGTAGAAAATTATTCGCAAAATTCATAAATGTTCAAGAATTCAAAAATAAATATTTGAAACTAAAAAATAATCAAACCCTTAAAAATGTTCATGCATACTATCGCTTTCAATAAAGTTCACGAATTTAAAAACTTAATGAATTTTTAATAGTGCCACGAATTAAAAATGGAAAAATAAAATAAATAAACAACAAGAAAAAAAATAGAAAGAAAACCGGAAAATCTTTCGAAGCCATGGGGAAAGTTCAAAAAATAGGAGCCCAACAGTTTGTTGACCGCACCTATACTAGCCCGATGGGCCGGCTCACAACCGTGCTAGTGAGCTATTTACCCTCGGGGGTTACATATCATTTGTGAGTGCTAGTTATTCTTAAAAAATAATTAGTGCGAGTTTAGGTGGATTTTTTGAAGAGTACACCCAAACGTATCATATTTTAATAAATGCCAGAAATAAATAAATTATAAGAAGACTATCCTTGTTGCGAGTACAGTGGACACTCCACTCCACACCGAGGCAAGTTCGAAGACAAGCCAACACACACCAGGGCAGTCCGATGACAAGCTACCACACCACTACAACCATAACACAAGGGGCCAATCCTAAACTGAATTACAAAGCCGTGTCTCGACCAACACTTGCCGCCTTCGAAGATAACACACCCACTTGGACTACACTTGCTGATGCACCATCCACCCATGAAAATGCCGAGTCGGTGGCGGGACTTGGACGGTCACGAGAAAGGCATCGTCTTGGACACGCCAATTATGCCGTACATAACGCCCTTGAAGATCGACTTGACAGCAACAAGCACGAAAGGAACGCAACACATGACCTCCGGATCGTGTCTCCGTACACGATGCTCTCAACAGAGTAACGACGCTGAGAGCGGCCTGAACCGAACCTAGTCGCAAAATTTTAACAAAATGAGAATACAAACATACAGACACATATGAAATGCGAGTAATACCGTGAGGTTACACATCGATCAAACACAAATATCCCAAGCAAAACCGGTATATCTCAAGCACGTAGTAATTGATCTCTAGCTAGAAAGTACTTTTATGCACACTGATAGTACCACAACCCGGAGATTTTGCAAAAAAAGAAAAAGAAGAGGTACTACACACGGAGAGCATCCGATGAGCTAGGAGCTAGCTGTAGTCTGAACTCCAGAGCGGCCTGAACCACATGGAGTGGACGCAGGGCTGGAGAGTCACCATCACCAGCAGCACCGCCACCATCGCCGCCACGCCCCACGGTGACGCCCCCGACGACTGCGACGAGGCCGCGGCCGGCTGGGCGTTCACGGCGTGGCGTCGGAGCGCCCAGCGGGTGCGGCGGCGCCAGTACCCGAGCGCGGCGAAGAGGAGGAAGGCGGCCATGGCGGCGAGCGGCGCGGCGAAGACCCGCGCGCCGATCTCGGCGCGGCGCTCGACGGCCCGGTAGTCGACGTAGGAGGAGGTGGCCAGGAAGGAGACCACGATGGCGAAGAAGGCCAGCAGGCGCCACGGCGGCAGCGTCGCCGATGACAGCGCCCGCGCCGCCCAGCCGTGCCTCCAGCCCCGCCGCGAGTGCTGCGCCCACGACGACATCGCGCAAGCTTAGCTTAAGCTGCTGCCGCACCGGCTCTATCCAGCTGAGCTGTAGGCGCGTGCAGAGTGGTGGTATATATTATTGGAGTGGAAGGAAGGAAGCAGATGCCAAATGCTTGTGGGTGGAAGAAAGGAAAGGCGGGAGAGGAGCCGTGATGGGTCAGAGCTCAGAGGTGGGCGCGCCGGAATATATGCTGCCTGTTGAAAGAGCTAGCTTAGCTATAAATCAAAGGAGGATTACATGAGAGAATCAATTGGTCATAGGTGGTGCGCACTGATTAAAGATGGAGAAATTCCTTCCACCTCGCCACTATAGAGCTAGCTAGCCTCTAAATCATTTTTCTGGCCAAACAAAAGCTTCCGAATAATTTGTTGGGTTGGATTATGGGAGTGGTTGCTTCTACGTGGACTTGGAAATTATTGTTTCTAAGTCCAAAGCTGATTATCAAGCGTTGAGTTTATCCAACCGGTCGTGTTAGTTGCACATTTTAGGAGTGTGCATAATTTTCTTTCAACTCTGAAAATATATGTATAAGTTGATCAATTTAGATATAACTGTTTTTTCAGGCCGATAAATGTGACCTTAATAGTTTTCTTCTTGAAGTAAAGTGTAGCATTGAGAATCCACTGGCACCCGTGGGGATGGTTTCATTTTCAGCAATGCCGCTTGTGGACAGGGCAGTGCTCTCTTTTCTTTTTTTGATCCTTGACCGTAGAACAATCGTTCTACGGTATTTTCCTTAATGAATAATAAATGGTACAAATTACAGGTAAAAAGTAAAATGAAGATAAAGGTAAAAATCAACCAATGCCAGCTCTAGGGAACATCACGATAATCATATTACAGAAATTGTTCCGACCCAGACTTGAGCTGTTCTGCTTTGCCTTCTTTTGCCCTGAGCTGTGCTTCCCATAATCGTTCCTCCAGATAGAACTTCCAGATGCCTAAATGTGATGCTGCTGCTCTGAAGGTTTTGTCATTCCGGACAGACCAAATGCTGCAACAGCCCAGCAGGATGATGTCCAATGCTATGCCTTTAGGTAAATGACTTGTAGTGAGAACAATTGCATCAAATGTTGAAATACCTCTGTTTCTCTCAGGGACAATGGAATCCCAACATGAGAGCGCGAATGAGCAGTCCCAAAACAGATGTATCAATGTTTCTTCCACTCCTTCAGAGCATAGGACACAACTATAGTCTGGCAGATGCATCTTCCTTCTAGATAACATGTTTCTCGTGTTTATCCTGTCATGTAGAAGAAACCAGGATATAAATCTTATACCTCAGTCTGCATGAGGTTTTCCAAAGATTTTTAAATATGGCATGCGTTGGACCATTTCCCATGATTCTCTTGTACATCTGCATCGATTAGTACTGGTTGGTTGGCCAATAATATCTCCAAACATCTCTATTGTCTGAGATCTCCCTGTTATCAATCAATTCTTTCACCATGTTGAATTGCTGGAAGGCTTGTAGTGGGGGAGTGCTCTCTTCAACCCCATAGCAAAAACAAACCTCACTACTGTTTTTGGCCTCTCCTGTCCGCCCCTCTCCGCAATCCAGTCACCTCTCATCTTGAAGGATAACTGTGTATTCTAAATTCAGAAATAATTTGCTACCCATGGAGAGAAAATCTGTTAGGTGAGCATTTTGTGTATTCTAAATTCTAAATTATTTTGGACCATGAAAAATAACTCTATAACAAAAAAATATCGTGACTTTGGACCAGCTAGGCGAGCAAAAAGGCACTTGTGCCAAAAAGGCAAGGGAAAAGACTGAGAGAAGTGAGAAAATGCCTTTCTGCGCAACGAAAAGGCACTTGTGTCAAAAACGTAATAAAACTGACAAAGAATAGTGAAAAAGTCATTTCTATACAATAAAAATGCACTTATTCCAATGCCAAAAGAAACCCGACATCTCATATATCAAAAAGGCACTTATGCCAAAGGGTGTGTAGCTACCACCATGTGTGCCTAGCTGCCACCATTCTAAATTATCATGCATGTTACAAATGCACAATTTCGATAAATATAGTGGACGTCTTTAAAGAGCGGAATGGTTTTCGAGATAAATTTCTTGTTAATATCTCGTACACTTTAGAATTCACAATTCACTTGTACCTAATTAACTTGACAGTCTTGTACTCTAGAATCCTCCACTATATTCTTTCTTTATTCATACTCTAAATCGCCCTTTGATATCAAGTTCCGTAGATATTCAAGAGATTATGTACAAATACACATATAAATGCACATTAGCAAAACAATGGACATAAAAATAATTTGTCGATAGATGTGATACAACACAATTCGTGCTATTGCCACAAAAGTTTTCCTTGAATAACTAAAACATAAAAAGTTAACACAACAAATAAACAAAAGTATGGTCCTACTTTAATATTTGCAGTGAATCATACTAGAGATGTATGAAAAATTCAGGTAAGGTAAGTACGCATTGTTTACCTATACTTGAAAATAATATTTTAGTTGTTATAAGAGACATGTATCGATGCAAAACAAAAATATAAATTTGGTTGGGAGATCAATCATCATGAGATAAAAAAGTTTAGTATAAATACATTAGTATGTTGAAAGTCACTGCTAAACTCTATAAGCTCAGGTTGCGCGTTAGTGTTAGACTTAGACTAGGTCGTCCACGATTTCTAAAAGCATATGTGTCAATTAAAAAATACTTTATGCCAATAAACAGAAAACATAGCTCGAGACATGACCAAAAGCTTATTAGAATGGTTCAAAACTCATGACTCACTTCCATATGTAGGCATTAGTAGGAATGGCGGAAATCAGAAAATAAAAACTCGTAAGATAAAGTAAGATCAAAAGCATCCAAGAGACGACTTGGGAAGACATGTGGGTCCAACATGCCACATATTATCTTTTATCCTAATTTCAAGCTTATTTTTTTCCAATTTTTTTAACATGTTTTCCTTTATTTTCATCCATCTCGAAAAGTCTTTTTATGCGCTTTACTTTATTCTATAGTGTTGACAACTTTCCGGTATAATCTCTGCAAAGTTGTAAGTAAAAGTCTGTAGAAGTTAAAATAGTGAATATGAGTTTTAAATAAACATTGTGTTTTTAGAAATAGTGATATAAAATAGATGCATTAATGGACATGGCGGTAGCACTTATAGAAAGATAAGATAACAAAGAAATATGGATACATTTTAAACTAATTATAGGGCAAGGTTTTCGTCTTCCATATCCTATCTTTTCGATGGAGAAGTATAGGTGGATTCTCTTAGGTTAAACCACACACCTGCAACATTTGTGCAATTATAGTGACAATTCATATAGATCCACATTGTCTTATAATCTAAGACGATAGATGGTCACTCGTTATCTCTGCCAAAGACAAAATTAATGTGTGAGCGAGTAAACGTATACATCGAGGCTTGTGGTGCACCTCGTGCACCCAAATACCATTGTGCCTTCGGAAACGTTTGATTTTTAAGCACATTCAGACAATACCAATAGCTGTCACAAAATTTCAAATCAAAATTAAAATGTAGTTTCAGATATAATTTGTTATCGATGAAGGTACGGGCCGAATCATAAGCCAACTAATATTATCCACTATTTGGTGTTAATTTTTCCAATAGAAATATTGTACGATAGACCCATACACTACGAATGTGAGCATGATTATCTGAACTCTCATGGGTAGAGTGATGCCCCCACAACTCGAGCACCGCATCAAGAGGTGGTTCTCATTCGGCGTTGAATTTGTCCACTGTCACGATCGAATACAAAACCATAAATATTAGATATTTAACGCTTAATACCGTGGTTTGGAAGTTGCAGAGTTGGACCTTAATGAGCAGAGCATGCAACCGAGGTTGTGCTTAAGAGGCCATGCCTGCTCAGGGCACAAGTATTGGCCGGGCCTTGCGTCATTGTTGCTCTAGTGAACAGATGAAAAATAGTGTGCAAGTTCAGTCTAAGAAAAAAATATTAATTCTCAAAAGGGAAAGTAAAAGCTGGCAACTCCTTGCTCAAAAAACATAATGCCAACTTCTTGATAGATTTCAAAATGTTCATCAAATTCGAAAATAATTTATTGATTTTCAAAAATATTAATGCAAAAACAATGTTCACGAATTTTGAGAATTGTGAATTTATAATTTTTTTCACAAATTTTAAAATGTTCGTAAAGTATAATCATGATTTTAAAAAATATTCATGATTTTTAGAAAATATTCATGAATTGAAAAAACTGTTCACAAATTTTGAAATTACTCATCAAACTAAAAAAGGCAACACAAAAAATAAAACAGAAAAAAATACAAAAAGAAAAAGATGAAAGAAAACAATAAAACCCGTGAGAAAGCCATGTGGAGAAACGATAAAAAACCCAGAGGAGAATGACTGTCAAAAGTGGAAAACTGGTCGAAAGAAGTAAAAATCGGCTTTAGGAATGCATACTGAGCTGGTCATTGTTGCCTCACGGGCTCATTATAGCTTAAATATGTCTGAATGGGCGTAGAATATTTGAATTATCTTGCAAGATCGGCCACGCGAGGTTCAAGTGCGGTGAGGGGTGTGGATGGCCAGTGGCTCGGCGATGTTCGTCATAGGGGAGAGGTTGTGTATGCACCGAGAGATCTCAATGGGACTATGCGAAAATGCTAAACCTACGAATAGCC